AATAAAAGAAGCAGAACATGATTAAAATTATATGAAATAATGTGTGCACACACATGCATATGTGTGTGTGTGTATATATATATATATATACATATATATATATATCTGTATGAATTATGTATTTTTACATCTATCATTCTCTACCACTTTCCACCCTGCTCCTTGCCCAGGAGGCTGCCTACAGACATCAATAGCTTCTTTGGCCTTGCGGCTTCTGCTTGGATTCAAACAATGGAGTTTTGGCAGGAGATGTGAAGGCAGGAGGAAAGCAAATCATCTTCCTCTTATTTTCCACTTCTGGTTCATTCTATCTGCCTAAGGCCCCAGCATCTGTCAGGTAACCTCTCCATAGTTTTCTCTGAAAATTGCAGGAACCACTCTTTGCCCTTGTCCCTGTGTGCCTAGAAGTTGTAGCAGAGCCCCTAGTGATAGAGTCTGGGGACACTGTGCAATCCCTGTGGTAGTTCTTGAACCCTGCTCACAGTTGCCCACTTCCATAGTGTCCTACCTGGGCAATTTCTTTTCCAGCATAACTCCAAATAATACTGATAGCAATACTTACCTGTGTGGTTTATATTCAATAATATGTACAAAATATTCTTACACTACAAAGAAAACTTTTTGAAAGATACAAATGTCGAGACAGGGACAGAGGACTAGACTTTCACTTTAAAAATGTTTCTACTTTCAATATGTGTGGGACTATGTACAGACAATTTGGTTTAGAAACCAAGTAACATGGTGGTTAATATGTAGACATATATATAGTTACATACATATATTACAAAAATATGTAATTACCTTTTTAAGAGGGCTATGACACCAATTTTGTCATAAAGGCACACTGTTGTGGGTGTATAATATGTGTATTCTTTAGACTATTTCCATTGATGAATTATTAATTTTAATTTTATGAGTTTCATTAAACAATGAGTACTTAACAGGAAAAAATATCAAAAATATAAACTTAAATTTTTATTACTTATTAATTATAAAAAAGCATAAAAATTTTTAACATTAACTGCTTTGCTGTACAAAGTCTAAAAATAACAGCAGAAATAGATTCCTATGTGAACTGCACTTAAAATACCAATAAAACTCTACAATAAAAATAATCTTTGCTTTAATTGGCACACCTAAGGCAGTCTGCACACCTGACAATAGCACATTCCATAAATAGGCATTACTTACAATGACAGCACACATATTTTGCTTTTCTGATCTTGTTTATGACATTTTTGGCATTTCACCAGTCTTGAAATTTTATCAAGAAGTTCTCTTTAAATTATACAGTGTGCAGTTAACAGAAACATAAAATATTAATAAAATAAAATATTAAATACTTAACATGTATTGCACACTTAAGAATAAATGTCAATATTTTCACATCAGCTGTGTACTTGTACAATATTTTCACATCAGCTGTGTACAAAACCTAAAAAATAACCTCAAAAATAAATTCTCATGTGAACTACAATGGAAATACCAAAAGAACTCTACAATAAAAATAATCTTTATTTCAATTATTACACCCAAGGCAATCTTCACACATGACAACAGTATGTTCCATGCACATGTCTCACTTACACTGACAACACATGTGCTTAGCTTTCCTTTCCTGTGTAGCAGGCAATTCTTGTTACCCCTCTTGTCTTCCTCTTCTGTCAGGAGCTCCTTTCTATACTGTACAATGCGCACTTAGCAGGAAAATAAGATATCAATAAAATAAAATAAAATATCAAATATGTAATGAGTGCTTAGAATAGACATCAACATTTTCATATCAGCTGTTTGTTTACAAAACCTAAAAGACAACATCAGCAATAAAACCTATGTGAACTACAAGGTAAATACAAACAAAAGTCTATCACAGTAATACTCTTTGCTATTCCCCTTCTGGGTATTTTCCCAGAAGAATTAAAAACACCACACCACAGCAATATATATACACCCATGTTTATAGCAGTGCAATTTGTCACAGCTAAATCTTGGAAACAACCCAAATGCCCATAAACTGAGGAACTGACAAAAAAAACTTGGTATTTTTATACAATGGAGTATTACTCAGCTATAAGAAAGGTAAACTTGAGGCGTTTATAGGTAAATGGATGCAAATAGAGACCATACTCATAAGTGAAAAAAATTGGACCCACATTTATAGACATCACGTTGTCTCCCTAGTGTAAGAACATGAAAGAGTAAGTGGAACCCAAAATGTACAATAGATATTGGTAAAGGAAAAGAAATTGCTCAAAAGCAGAAATAACTGGGATTAGGGAAAAGAGAAAAAGAAAGAAAGAAGGAAAGGAAAAAAAATATACATATATTTACAGAAGGATGGCTTGGATAACTGTCCTGCCGATGTCTAATGGTTTAAGGAACACATAATGCTTTATTTATTTATTTATTTGACAAATTTTGCATACTTATATCTGGTAATCTGAATGACTAATTTGAAGACAACAATAAGCAACATAACAACAATTGTTGAATTCCTATCATCTTGTTTGGTGAAAATCTGTATCATTTAGAATTTTTTTTGTTTTTATTTTTTGTTCTCTTTAATGGTTTAATTAATCTTGCATTCTTATATCTGGTAATCTGACCAACTTTCTGAAGATAATAATATGTAATATAACAACCACTGTTAATCCTTATCATTTTGTTCTGAAACCCTGTATCATTCTTACTGTTTTTGCTTTGTTTTGTTTTTGTCTATGTTGTTGGCATTTTGCTATTATTCTTTTCTTCTTCAATTCTCTCTAAAATAAAAAGTAAATAATCATTGCTTCAACAGTCACACCCAGGCAGCCTTCACACATGACAACTGCCTGTTCCTTGTACAAGTACTGCTTACACTGACATTATGTTTTGTTTTCCTGTCCTTTTATTGTAGGGTAGTTCATTTTTTGGTTTTCCTGTTGTCATGGTAGCTCTTTGTGAGGTGGAACTTTCCTGTTCACCTCTTTGTTCACCAGTGTGCTCCACAGATCTTTGCATAGTTCCCTGGGCAGAAACATTTTGGTCTTCCTCAGCTGTAAATGATCTCATAGGAGTTCCAGTCCTGGTCCTCTAAGAAAATTTCTCTGTGATAATTTCTCCCGAGCTACTATGAGCCACACACACATTTGATTATGGTAAAGTATATGTTTACTTAACAGAAGAAAGACATGGGTGTATTTCACCCCCTTAATGCTCGGGTAAACATATGTAAAAACTGTTAGAGGGAGCATTATGTGGGTCAAAATCCAGGTTTGACACTTTTACACATGTGCACAGCTTGCCATTAGTCATACCAAGTGGACAAAGACTAAGATTACTTCCTGTATCCCCCAGGTGCAGGTACTGAGATGCATCATGCTAAAGTACAAATCTACAGAAGAAAACTATGGGGTGGATTGTGTAACCCAATGTTATGCCCTTTAGGAACGGCACAATAAGAATGGAAAAAAGCAATGAACACCAAGAAGAGTAATGACCTAGGTGTTCATTTCAAATAATACAATGTGTCTGACAGGAAGGATTCTCACTTCTTAAAATCAGATTTGACATCTCAAAGTATTTTTTCTGGACAGAGTTGTTTCTACAATATCCTATTTAAATGACCTATTTTTAGAAAAGCAGATGCTTTATAATTTGCTACAAAATAACCCCGTTTTCTCAACATGTATCATTCATGTTTCAGATTTGCTACTTTCCAATCAAATTGTATTTTTGGAGCTCTTTAAACAGCAGTATAGTTAAATAAATATACCTTTTAGATTTCATTAAATGTTTATCTTTTGTTATTAAAATAATAATAGGCCCATTTGCAAAAAAGAAATATTGACTCTTAGAACTATTCTCAAAGCTTCCTAAAGTACTGTAAGAAAAAAATAAAGGAAGTAACCAACGTAGTATTGGAGTTCACAATTAAATTAATTTATAAAGGTTTTAATGCAATTAAATTTCCTCCAGACTGTATCTCTAACAGTGCTGGAGTTTTTCACTTAATATACTTTAAAGCGTAATTCCCTTTCATTTTTGCAAAGTCATTTAAATATTACAAATATCACTTTTATACACATTTCCATGGTGACAATATGTTCTCAGTCTATTTAATTTCAAGATGATGAGACCAAAATGAAAACTCTCTGAGGACCATAGATCTTCTACAACATCACATTTTCCTTGCTTTCCATGATATTAAGTTTGTAAATTATCTACATTTGCAAGAATGGACTCTTGAAACAGTAATAAATATTTCAAATGATATGATTGTGAAACTTTAAGAAAATTAAAATCCAGAACAAAGACAAGCATCAGTGATACAAAGAGCCAAGATGTCTGGGGTGTGTAATTTAAGTTAATAAATTATTAGGCTTTGAAATTAAATTTAACAAATCCTTCACATAGCCAAATTGAGAAAACAGAGAAGAACATGAACTGCATATAAGCTTCCAAACCAAAGCTCAACTTATTCATATCCATAAAGGATTGAACATAACAGGACTGAAGATGTTCAAATACATTAAGGTGACTTTATAGTCACAACTAATAAGCAAAGTTTTTAAGATAATTTGCATTGCTCCTAAATTTAGATGTATAGGAGCTAAGCTTGAAGGTATTTAGTAATAAATAGCTAACTACTTTGAACCCTGAAACAAATATAGATTTGGTCCAACACATTTTTAGCTGAGGATAGCTGCTAAATTCAGATGTTATTTTTGCTGCAAATATGTAACATAGAAGGGAAATATTTGACAAAGAAGAAGTAGATGCAACTATACAAATCATAACTTTAATTGACAACAATATGAAAATTCTAAAGGGTAACAAGCATCCCTGAAAGAGGTGACACTTAGGCAGGAATAAAAACCCCAGTGTGTATGCTGCACAATAAGGATGCGGAGTCGATTTTTCCTCTCTGGATTATTTCCTACTGCTCCACAAATAAGGACGGAAAAGCTTTTCTCCTCCTTAATGACAGTAAGACAGAGGAACAGTCAGGACATTCCTACCTGGTTTCCAGATGAACTGATTATCCTTTTTGCCTTCCAAATGAGCAGCATGCGACAGCAAGAGTGAAAGTAATGGAAACAGCTTCCGCATGCTCCTCCATGCCCGGGCAGTGACAAGAAGATTACCCTTTGGAAACATTCTTCAGACCGCTCAACTTCTTGGCCTGCCTAGTCCTAAGAGAAAAATGAAAGAGAAATATGAGGTAAGCTTCTCTTGTTCAGAAATTATGAAAATTTACTTTGACTGCTACAGCCTTTACCATGATAATATTATAAATCTCCCATTACATTACCATAAAGGTAATATAGACAATACTATCATTTGAGGGTTAGTAATTAATTTGCTATGTTTTTAATCCTTACCCAAAGAAGCCATATCAATTCTACTGAGTCAGTAGTCCCTCAGTCAGTCCACTTTTATGCTTCAAAGAAAGCAAGGTTAGCAAATACTGAGTATATTCCATCCTTTCTACTCAGACAAATCCCTTGAGGTGCTCGCGGCTGGGGAACAGATATGCATACATGACAAAATCCAAAAGAGAGTGAGGCAAGTTGTAACTGTACTATGAAGAAAGTAGAAAAATGGAGATAAGGCAATTAGTTCTTCTCTGGTAAGAAAAAAGAAGGAAACTCACACAAGATAATGAGTAGAGCCTTAGGGAGCATAAGAGCCTGCAGGAATCAGGAAGCACACACCAGACAGAGAGAACAAGGTGCTGAAACGCATTTTGTGCTTGGTGATGGGTGATCAGGTATGTTGGTGGCTGCCTTGTGGATCACAGTGGGGAGGGAGCAATGGCTGAAGATGGCATTTAGGTCATAGACTGGAGTCCAGTTATAAAGCACTTTGACTGTCATATGAGGGATTTGGATTGCATGCTGTAAACAGTAACAATAAGAATCATAAAACACCAAATTACTTAAATAATGTCTCAAGTATGCACAATGGGTACTAGTGCATAGTGCTAGAGAAACTGAGGGTAATTAGGAAACTAGGGAAATAGTTGAGACAAATATTGAGGAAAGAAACGAGCAGGAGAGATCTGAGAGGTACAGCAAAAGCTGCATTAAAATATTTAGTTTGCAGTCGGATGTGCCTTAGTAAAGGATGAAGGTTAAACAGGACAAATTTAGATTACTGAACTGATTGGTAACCCTTTGCTGCAGAATATATGGGAAGAACAGGTTAAAAGGGAATATAAAAAGAATCCATTTTATAAAATTTTTGTTAGTACTTGTTTATAATACATAGTGATTACATTCATCATGGGGACTTGTACATATACATAGTTCATCTGGATTCTTGTTTTCCTTGATTTTCTCTCCCTCCCCTCTCTTCATCTCTTGGTCCCCTTCCTGTTTGTAAAAGATCTGTCCTCACGTTTCCTACTATCTTTCATTTTACTCTTTAATTTATTATGCTTTGGATTTTTCACACAAGAATCTACTCAGAGCATATAGTAAATCTCATGTGCCTGTCAGATTCCCAGGTACAGTCTTCTGTTACCTTTGTTTTTGTTTCTCAGAACTAGAGATCAAATCCAAGCCTTTGTGTATGCTAGGCAAGTGCTGGACTACTGAGCTACACTTCCTGCCCCATTTACAGTTTTATTAAAAAATTATCAACCTGAAGCTGAGAGCTCAGATATTTAAAATAACACATATATTATGACAGCATTATTTACATATAAAGAGACACACACAGAGAAGGGTAAAAGTATTGAACAGTAAAACAAGCATTAAGGGTAGACGTGATTGTCATTAAATGCTTACCTGCAAAATTGTTAAAGGCAGGTGGAAAATCTAACTATGAGCTTCCTGGTGACCAAAGAAAAGAAATAGATTCTATAGTTCTACAATCCTAATGGGCATAGGATTAAATTACACCTTCCTCTTTTCTTATTCCTTTTCCAAAAGAAGCCATCTTGCTCCCAAGCACTGTTGGAATTTACCCCAAGAGTCCTCATAAATACAGACGATGCTGAGCAACGTGCTGAACACTTTCTCCAGCAAATAAAACCCACAACAGTAAGTTGTATATGGCAGGGTCTCATGTTTCCTTGAATATTCCAAGGGGACAGTGGCAAAGTACAAATCAGTAAAACTTATTCTGCAAGGAGGTAAGCAATGAAGTTCAAGTACACAGCTCTCCAAGGGCCAATCTCAACCCAGGGATCAAGAGAATACTTTGAAAAGAAACCAAAAACTTTTCTTGAAATTTATATATTACACACCACTAATAAGAAGGGTAAAAGTAAAGGGCTGTGTTTGAAATATCATAAGGACTACTGGCTTGGTTGACTGTGTCAAAGAGTGGCCTGTTAGAGGATTTCCCAGACTGCTGGGGCATTACTAGACATAATTCTAAAACCTCTGTCCTTGAGAACTAAACTGGCCACATCTTTTTGGTGCAAATAGCCATGAATATGATTGACTACAGCTGTGCTTCTGCTAAGTATTAGGAAACATGAATGATAAATTATAGTTTATTCCAAGGGCATTGCTATCTTATATTTATATCTGTGTAAAGCAGAAAAAGATAGCCTCTCCTCAAGTAAAAGTATGTATTTTGAAGTTAGTATATTATTACATAAACTCAACTGTTCTGGCCATGAGTGCTTTGTCAGAATGCCTCTGGGCAATTACCTAGTTTGTAAGCAGTTGCAGGTGCACCTTAGCCCCTGACACCCATAAACCACCACCACCACCATCAAGAAGCACACCGCATGTCCCCGCTCCCGTTTTGTGGTGAGGAAATTGCCAACTTCAGAGCTGGAGTTAGGGAAGACTCAAGGAGTGACAGGGCACAGAGTACTGGCATATGTGTTACCATCAGTTCTTGCTCTGCCCAGCCTACAAGGTCATGAGTCCAGCGATGGGTTTATACAGGAAGGAACACCCTACTAGAAGCCCTGAAGTCTCAACTCCCATCTACTTGCTTACGTGTCTGCTGGCATCTGACTATAAAATACGTCTGCTTAGATGAGACCTCTTTGCATACACACATATCCTACAGACATCACACACTGATAATGGCGAATTCATATGCTTTTAAAAATTGGAGGAATTGTATCATGGTATTTTAAAGTCAGCCTGAGTCTTCTGTGTGAATGAAGTTACTCCACTTCTGCTGAAAAACTGACTGAGCCAGCCCACGATTTCCTTCAGAAAGCAATGGGGATCTTCTACACACATGCGCAGACACATACAATGGATGATTACCTCTGCATGACTAACAGATTTGATATAAAGACTTTCATCTAGACATTTTTCAGAAGACATCACTGCCAATTACTCCAATGAAGCAGCAGAAAGATGAAACCTACGTATTGCCCCCATAATATAACAAAACTTCCTGGTGAATCCTACAAAGTTGAGAAATATACCTGTGAGAAAGTAAATAAGCTGATCTTCTGTATAATGAAGGATCTAAGTCAATGTCATGTTAGAGGGCATTTGATAAAAATGATGGCCCTGTTACGGGGTAGCTGATCCTAAGTTATTATTTCCAAAGTTAATAATCAGCTAACAGGACCAGCTTTCTACTGAGGCTACTTTTATTCATGACATAAAGTGACCAGGGTATATAAGATGACTTTGTCTATTCTCATTAGTGGGAGACATGTATCCAGCATATCTAAAAACATATTCAAGTCATTAAAATGGAAAATAAAAAGTATTAAAAGCATGTTTTCTTTACTCCAAATATCCATAAATAGGAAGCCAAAAAACACATCTAAAAGGATTTAGTTCTATCAAGACCACAAATGAGCTTGACTGATTAGTCAAGTATTAACATATGTGTAGCATACTCTTTCAATTTTAGTTAAAAAAAAAAAAACATATTATAACTATCTTAACATAGGTTATTATGAGCCTTCGTCTATTCTTAGGCTTTTCCACTAGCCTAAAGCCCTGTACTAACTATTAAAAAGGCCTAAGGCCTTTTGGCCTCTTCCTCTGTGTTTTCCTATACCAGGATCCAACACTCCAGAGGACAGCCCATAGCAAGGTGGCTTGGAGAACCTGTTGGACTCTAGCAGTGATTACATCTCCCAGGTATCACTGACAAACAAAACATAGTACCAGTAGGAAACCCAACAAAGATCTTGAACAAAAAATTCCAAAATAGATCTTAAAGAATGAGGAACAGATCTCAGTTTAAGATGCCACCACAAAACCTTATGCCTAAAAAGACCCACACAATTCTGTTATTTACCTTACCTATTGTTTTACTTTTCCTAGTTGCTGAGAAAAAATACTTCACACCCAAAGTGAGAGGACAGGAGGTTTATTGTGACTCACAGTTTGAAGAACTGTTGACTGGCATCAAGGCAGGGTGGCATGGCAGAGGGGCATCACAGAGGAGAAACAGTTTGTGGCAGGCAGAAGGCAGTAAAACAGAAGTAGCAAACAACAGCAGCTGCCATCTTCTTTTTCTTATATCCTATCCAGGTTCATGCCCTTAGGTTGGGTAGCACTCACACTCAGAGTGGGCCTTGCTATTATTCACACCCAGAACTATGCCAAACCAATCAGTGAACTAATTTAGTAATCACAAACCCTTAATCACAGCATCATACACTTCACCTCCAGCATCCCATGCTCTAGATCCAGTCACCTCTACCAAGCCCCACCTACGACCCATGAGGCTTTGGGGACAACTAGATATAAGCCATAGCACCTATAATACTATAACTCATTATTTCCCTTTCCCCAAGAAGCCTGAGGCCAGAATAGAAAACTAATTTTGCTGGTGTTTCCCCCATCGGTCATGAGGCATGCATTTTACATGCAAGTAAAGAGAGACTGCTGGACTGATGGAAAGCACAAGATGAAATCTGAACACAGATTTGTCTACTGCATTAAACTGTGGTGCTTTTCTTTCTTCCAAATGCCAAAAATTCACTACATTATTCCTTGGAGGACAGTGGGAGTCATTTTTGTATTTGTGATTAGAGAGGCCACAAGAGTTCACTATAAACAAAATAAGAAGACAAGAAACAGACTCTACTGTCATGGATAATAGAAATGTAAAAATTCTATAAGCATGATGAACTATGTCATGCAGGAGAGGTGCTATCCAGGATGTCATAAATAATTTATATTATGAAGGTTGTTGAATTTCCAAATCAACTTATTTAGTATATATCTTAGCATCCAAAATATATTTG